CACTTCCGTTTTGGTAAGGATATAGTACGCAATGTACTTCAAGTGCTCATTCACAATATTTTGGTGCTACAGATACTTTGCAAAGATGTAATGTTACAGCTAGTGCTCGAGCTCATTTTTGTATCATAACACACAGACATCAATGAGTGTACGAGAAACCCTTGCCAGCATGGAACCTGTGTGAACAAAGATGGTGGATACAAGTGCACCTGCTCACCTGGATGGACTGGACAGAACTGTCAGCAAGGTAAGTTCCTTTTGGTAGTGAGTAAAAACTAAGGCATGAAGCATGATTTTGTTCTCATCGTCTTTTCAATCAGCTCAGCTACAACTGTACATTTCTTTCATCAGACATCAACGAGTGTACCAAAATCCCTTGCCGACAAGGAACCTGTGAGAACAAAGATGGTGGATACAAATGTACCTGCTCACCTGGATGGACTGGACAGAACTGTCAGCAAGGTAAGCGCCTTTTTGTGTACAGTACGATAGAAAAATGTGTGTTGTCAGACGATATGAGTGTGTTTTAAATCAGCTACAACTTCTGTACATTTATTTCATCAGACATCAATGAGTGTACGAGAAACCCTGCCAGCACGGAACCTGTGAGAACAAAGATGGTGAATACAAATGCACCTGCTCACCTGGATGGACTGGACAGAACTGTCAGAAAGGTCTGTGGTAAACGTCCATTTCCATTTTAGTGAAGATATGACTGCGGAAATGTAGTTCAAGTGCTCAATATTTTGGTGCTATAGATACCTTGCAAAAGATGTAATGTTACAGTGCCCGAGCTCCTCTTCATATCATAACACACAGACATCAATGAGTGTATCAGAAACCCTTGCCAGCATGGAACTTGTGTGAACAGAGATGGCGGGTACAAATGTACCTGCTCAGCTGGATGGACTGGACAGAACTGTCAGCAAGGTAAGTTACTTTAATTTGTGCCTTCATGTTTCACCTCACATTCAGGGTCTAGAGGTACTTTCATGTTTTCTTTGCATTGTGTAGGTTTTATTCATGTTTAATTTTTTTTCTTTATCACGCAGACCTCAATGAGTGTTCCAGAAACCCGTGCCAGCATGGTCGCTGTGTGAACAAAGATGGTGGATACATATGCACCTGCTCACCTGGATGGACTGGACAGAACTGTCAGCAAGGTGAGCACTTTTTTCTGTAGCTACCTTTATGATTAGCATACATGTTATTGTTTATTGTTTATTGTTTATTTACCATTTGCACGTATATTAAAAACAATTACACAATCAAATAATAATAATCAAAGAATGTGCGGGGTAGGCCAGAAACCTGGGTGGTTTTTCTAGAGGCCTACCCCAAGCAAAGATAACTTATGACAAAACATATTTAAATTAAACATCAAAATTAAACAATGAAATAATTAAACAATGAGTAATTAAACAAAATCAAGACACAGAAATAATAACTGAGGTGTATAAACTAACTAAAACGAAATTAAACAAAAGTCTTATACCTGTAATTCAGGTAGATGTTACAGATTAAACTGATTAAATAATTAACATAAGAATTAACGATTAAAACAAAATATTAACCAAAACAAGGAAAACAAACAAATCAGATTGTGGATGTACTGGGATTTTGTAGGAAAAAGTTTTTAAGAAGTTTTTTGAATACAGGAGTTGACCGGCAGTTTTGTAACAGTTGGCTTAACTTATTCCAGACGATGGGGCCTCTATATGCTATTGAGAATTGTTTTTGTGTAGATTTAGTCTTGATCGGCCTTAAATGGTTATGTTGTCTCGTATTGTGCTGGTGAATGTCTGAGTTGAATGTAAAAAAAGTGTTGAATTGATCTGGTAAACTATTGGTATTATGAACGATTTTATGAACAAAAATGGCTATTTGTAATTTGTTTAAGTCATATACATTTATGATTTTTAGTTCACGAAACAGAGGTGCTGAGTGTGCTGTGAAGTGTGTGTTAGCTGCAATTCTAACAAAGTGTTTTTGCAGTTGATAGAGTGGTTTAATTGAAGTTGTGTAAGTGCTCGCCCAAATGAAATTGCAGTATGATAGATACGGATATATTAGACTGTAGTATAATGTTATAAATATTCTTCGTGGGAGGAGGGTCTTTATTTTTCTAATGATGCCTATGTTCTTATGAATCTTATTGCAAATCAAATCTATATGTATCTTCCAATTAAGTTTTTCATATATAAGTATTCCTAAAAAGCGAGTGTGGTTTACTTGATTGATACGTTTATTATTTATATATATGTGGGCTTTTTCTTTATCATACTTCTTTTTTGGTCCAGAAAAAATAATAAAACTTGTCTTCTTTATATTAAGGGATAACTTATTCGCCTTGAACCATTGACTGACCTTTTCTAATTCTGCATTTACCGTTGTCAATAGAGTATCAAAATTACTGTGCGACATAAATAAGTTTGTATCATCTGCGAACAACAAAGTAAAAAATTTATCTGATACTAATGCTAAGTCATTAACATATATTTCTATTTGCATCTACCATTCCTTCCATTTTCCTTCTTTCTTCATATGGTTGTTATAACAGTGATCTACATTGTGCATGGCATATCTGTATGTCTTTATAACGCAGACATCAATGAGTGTACCAGCAAAATCTGTCAACATGGAACCTGTGTGAACAAAGATGGTGGATACAAATGCACCTGCTCACCTGGATGGACTGGACAGAACTGTCAGCAAGGTGAGTTCCTTTTGGTGTGAAGTAAAAACCAAGGCATGAATGTGTTTTCAGTGCGTGTGTACATGTATCTAATCAGTTCAGCTGCAACTGCTGTACATTTCTTTCACATAGACATCAATGAGTGTTCCAGAAACCCTTGCCTGCATGGACACTGTGAGAACAAACTTGGCGGCTACAAATGTACCTGCTCACCTGGATGGACTGGACAGAACTGTCAGCAAGGTCTGTGGTAAAAGTCCATTTCCGTTTTGGTGAAGATATGTACGCAAATGAACTTGAAGTGCTCAATCACAATATTTTGGTGCTACAAATACGTTGCAAAGATTAAACGTTACAGTGATCGAGCTCATCTTTGTATCATAAAACACAGATATCAATGAGTGTACCAGCAGACCTTGCCAACATGGACGCTGTGAGAACCAAGATGGTGGATACAAATGCACCTGCTCACCTGGATGGACTGGACAGAACTGTCAGCAAGGT